CCCCCCCCCCCCCCCCTTTTTTCCCCATGATTGTGAAAAGTTACCCACTAACCGTAATTGTCCCCCCTCCCGTTTTTTCATCTTTGTCGTGATTGTATGTGATCATTGCGCGTTTCTGTTGACGTCCTTCGTAGGCTCTTTTATACGCGTCACCGTTGGAATTCTAGAAGCTTCAAGGTGAGGGAGGTTCGGAGATGGAACTGTTGGCTGCTGCCCAGTGCCAATGTGGCCCTCATCTTCTTGATTGCGTTTATGGCGTATTTAGCCTTTCTATCGTTTCTGGATCTACAAGTAACCCGGTCGGCTCAGCTTGTGAAGGTTGTCGTAACTCGTCTACTCCCTTTACATCCAGGTGGTGTAGGTCCTCGTGTTCTACTTGCTCTCCTTGTGCGCAGAGGCTCCACGTGAATAGCGGAGGCGATTCTTGTCCTAATGGACCTCCCAGCGTTTCCCAGGGTTTTTCCGTCCATCGCCTCCTGGATTCCCCTCGTCCTCACCATCCTTCTCTCCGTTCTCTCTGTCGGAGTGTTATGTCTCGCCACATTGCTGGTTTGCTTCCTTCCTTTGCACGAGTGTTCGACAAGCCTTCCCCTCCAGCGAGGGTTAGGGCGCAGAGGGCCCTGGAGTATGAGTGCGGCTGATTGGTGTCCTCCCCTGTGGTGTGTTTGACCGTCCTTTCATTGAGGGTTAACTCTTCCATTCACGAGGGCGGGTGCTATTCACGAGGACGATTGCGGGCATCAGCGAGGGTTAGGGCGCTGAGGGCCCTGGAGTATGAGTGCGGCTGATCGGTGTCCTCCCCTGTGGTATGTTTGACCATCCTTTCATTGAGGGTTAACTCTTCCATTCACAAGGGCGGGTGCTATCCGAAATGGGATATGTGCCACACGGGTACGAGTATCCAGCGTCTCTGTACGGATACGTACAGCGCAGGGTCATTGGTTCAGTAAGAGTGTCGCAGGAGAACCCCGGCCCACGAGCAGCATGATGCTGGTCTGAGTTGTTTTTCGAAGGATGATCGGGTTTCAACGAAAGTTAGGATGTTGAGGGTGCTGGAATACGTGGCTACTGCAGGCCTGACGTATCTTTTGCGATGAGTGGTGGGGGTGGTTATGTTTACCCAAGTGGTGTCATGCAGGGATTGATTAAGGACGAGCGGGGGGATGCTTTGATGCGGGTACTTCCTAAATGAGGGTGGTGTTGTTATGACTGGAGTATTTTTCAGAGGGCTGAGCGGGCTTCGGTGGGAATGAGAGTGTTGGGAATACTGGAGCGTGAGGGTGGCTCATCAGTGTTCTCCCCTGCTATGCACTCGACCATTTTTTTCACTGTTTTCAGAGAGAATGGTATATAAAGGTTAATTCTTTCATTTCGGGAGCAGGGGTTATTTATGAAGGGATGTGTGCCACGTGGGATTGGGTTTTCAACATCTCTATCCGATGCATTTAGCGCCAGGTTATATGTTCGTTGAGACCGCCGCAGAAGAATCCCGGCCTACGAGTAGCATGGGGTGCACGCCTGGCGGGGCAGTGTAGAGCAGGTGGTTGACTCCACCATCATCGTTGTTGCCCCTCCTGGTACATGGTCTGCTCTCATGATCCCTTCCCTTGACGCGTCTTCGGTATGGCATATTGGTTTTCTAGTTTAGATGGGGTGTTGCCTGGCCGGATTGTATGGAGTAAGCCACAATGATGATACCTAATCACGCTCGGGTACGAGGCTGGTGTCCAGTTTGGGGGTTGGTGGTTGTGATGTCCTACACTAGGAATTGATAGTGGTGATGGGGGTATTGGTATCCCGCATGATGGAGTGGCTGTTGATGCCAACAAAACATTATGATTAGTCATATTGCCGTCCTGTTGAATTCTTGAGAACGTGCGGTTGTTTGGAGTGGGTGTCTACCTGACTGCTTGTTTTGGAATGAGTTCAGGAATGATTCCTTGTCCACATGGGCGGTCGACAATACCAGGGTTGAGCTTGGTGTGTATCCATGTCTTAGACTTTCTGCATTATGGCAATGAGACTCATTCTACTTTTGCTCCTCTTGTATCATTCACTATCATTTTCTATAGCAACCTCTCTGATGTGATGTGATGTGATGCTATCTTGATGTTGTTCATAAGAAGCATGAATCGTGACACAACGTGCTGTGACACGGTCACAGGAGCCTCACAGTAAAACATAACACACGCACAAAGATTTTTCTCTTCCTGCTTACGACGGGGTCTGAATCCCTATCATCATGTTGTGCTCTCTCTCGCGTGCCCACCAACATCCTCCTAGTGTCTGCATCTGATGGTGAGTGGTTGCTCCATGATGGTTTAATACTTATTCCCCAAAGGTTTCCCTGTTCGGGCTGTCCCTTGTCCATCTGTTGTTCTTGATCCATGATGTACATTGCCCTCACCTTGTGTAATACTATGCCCTCTCGTGTGACAGGTACCTTTCTTTTCGGATAATGGGTGCCTTAGGTGGTACTGTACACTGATTTGCTGGTTGGAGACTCGAAGTGGCTCGATTCATTCCCTGCGCCAGCCCGACCAACTCAGGCCCTCATATCTCGTGCTCCCCCTAGGATTTTGGAGTTTGTCCGATTGTATTCAGTGGATGTTTCCCCCCCGTTGATTTCTATTATTTCCTTCGATCAATGGTCTGACCTGTTATGGACCGCGGCTAATGACAAACCTGCATTTCTGAACCTCGCCAAGTATCTGGGAACTCAGACAAAGGAGATCGCTGCAGACGATGATTTGGTGTCAATTTGCATTGATGCAAACCTGGCGATGAAGGAAAAGGTGTTTGTAGACCTGTTTGGGCCTGAGTTCAATTTTCACGCAGGATTGATCCAGAGGGAGTCCGTTACGACGGAGAATGAAGGTGATTCAGGGGAGAAGGAGGAGGAGGATGAGTCGCTTACCTTGACAGAGGAAGAGAAGGCGTATCACGCCAAACTACTCGCCGAAGGTAGGAAGGATAGAGTGAAGGCCATTGCTGCCAATCAAAAGACGAGTGTCACCAAGTATGTCCGCAATGCCTTTCTCCCCATGGTGCCATCAAGATGGGTGGAGTCGCAGTCCTGGTCTGTCGACGATAAGCTTTGGGACCTATACACCTTCAACTACGTTGCTCTAATCCATGCGGATTCGTATAGGTTTCTAGCGTCTCTCACGGGTGAGAAGATGAAGAAATGCAAGGAGAAAGCGCTTACTGACAATATGGATCTAATTAGGGGGGAGTACCCGCTCACACTAGACGCGATGAAGCTCCCTGTCATCGGGGATTTCAACCGCACTAAGTGTAGTGTGTCTGCGTCAGCCCTTGCGGTGAGGGGCTTCCTAGGTCCCAAGGTGCAAACTGCTATTGCGGAGTTGAAGCACATCTGGAACGTAGGCCGCCCATACCTCAAGTGTCAGTGTGTTGCGGAGGGGAAGGGTGATTGTGGGAAGGATATTTCGTGTTGTGATCACACCTTTTGGTATCTCCTCTCTGACCTTCACTACCTGTTCCCGGAGGCCCCGTCCCTCAGAGCTCGTGCACGTGCATTTAGAGTTAGAGCGAGGACCACGTGGCAGGCGGGCATCCTCTCCTTGGTGGTCTTTACGCACATGAGGGAGGTTATGGTGAAGATGGCTTTCAGTGTGGCTGGTGACCCGTCCAGGACAGCGCATAACATCATAGACAACCCAACCATCATGCTCAACAAGTTCCCCAGAACCATGGCCAAGCTCATCCTCCCTGCTCGCTATGTTCGCACGTCGCATGAGAGGAAATTGGATGTTACCCCGGCATCAACGGCCAAGAAGACGAAGAAGGTGCAACAGTCCACCCTGGAGTTCTACGTCCCTCCTGCACAGGCGGATACCCCTGCATCTACACGGGAGCAACCCACTCTGTCTGCAACCAGCACTCCCCCGTCTTCCACCATCACCATCCAGGAGGAAGGACAAGCGTCTGCCTGTAGCAGGCCGTTGAGAAGGAGCCCGAGAGGGTTGGGGCTGGCCTCGGCTTCACTGTTTAAGAACTAACTGACGGTTTTGATTGTGCTCGTTGCGTTGTGCAGGAAATTGAGGAGGTTGGGGGATTCATGTCTTGTGATCCTTCTGGCCTCAACAGATGGCAGAAAGCCCCAGTGGAGGGGAAGGAGTTTTTTATACATGGCTTGTACACAAGCAGGATTATGGAGTTAATCCGATTCAGATCTATCCTTGAGATGGTTGTTGAACAGTTTTTTCCCCCTGATGTTGGAGCATTGTTATCTCGTATTGTCATCGTTTGGACTTACATGAGCTTTTTTGAAATGGTTTTGTACAAACCTGCCTCTATTTTTCGGGACTTCGTGTTGGAGGATTGGTGCCAGTCGTGTGGGAGTCCGCCTTCATGCCCTTGTTTTGCGAAGCACTTTTTGCCCTTCCACCACCCATGCACGAGCGACATGGCTCAACCCTTCCCTTCCCCCTCCACGCATGTCCTTTCCCTTGACCCGAATTTCTCTGCGGTACCCAAGCTGTCTGAACTCATCTCGCACGGGCTGAATCACATCCCTCGCCGATCAGCCAATCCCCATGCTGCTTTCCATGAGTTCTTCAAGGCTTGGCACTCCGTTGTCTGCTTTCTCTCTTATCGAATGCTCATCACTAGTGCTATACAGTCAAGGGCGTCTGGGTTTGTCTCGGGGAAACTCAGGGCACAGCTTGGCTTTTCACAGTTGAAGACGCACCAGGATGGTAGGACCCCCCTTGTATCATTGAAACTCATGCTGTTAAGGATGAGATTGGTTTTCTCTCCAAACCACTGTTCATAGCTGGGACTGATAAATCTGGCAACACTCCGTCGTTCGTGTGTATTCACCTTATAAGGAAGTTGGCACTGGAAAGGCTCAACAGCAATGATTTTGTGTTTGTCCCCCTCACTGCGGGGGAGATCATGGATGAGGCGACATCGTCCATTGGGAGGGTTATCCCCTCAATGTCCATCGGGCCAAGGAAGCTTCCTTATCTCATGGCTTTGTACAAACATCAAAAGCTTACGTTTCGGTGGCTGACGAATGCTTCCTCTTCCTTTCTCACCCCAATAGCGAGTTTGTGTGACTCGGTCCTGAAGTGCCTTGCCCCTCTGGTCATGACCCAATGTCGGGAAATCACTGATGGCTTGAGTAGTTTCCATGGGGTGGATTCGTCCATCTGGTGGGCTATTGATTATGTGCAGGACTATTGCTATAACCTCTCTGACAAGGTCTTCACTGTGTTCTTTGCGGACATAACTAGGTACTTTGAGACAATTCCTATTGATGCATCTCTGATAGCTTGTGCTCTGCTGTGACATTTTTTTGTGGAAATTGCGTTCAAGGCGGCGGCGACTAAATGCCTTGGGCAGATGGTGAAATGCAGGGCTCGGCGGGACGGGTCCTTTTCCTGCTCCGTGGTCAGAATGAAGGGGGACACCTCCTCCCCTACGGCATTCTGGTTAGATCATAAGGAAATCATTGCACTAACTGATTGCTTGGTTACCCATTGCTTCACGTCCTTCGGTAGGAAGTTTTGGATACAAACATCGAACATTCCTATGGGGTTACACAACTCCCCCATTTGGTGTACTGTGTATTTCTTTAAGTATGAGTATAGCGGCTATAGCCTAATCATGAGGCTTGTGGATAGGAGGGCAACCCATCTCCTCCCACTTTTCAAACATATGTTCAGGTACATCGATGATCTCCACGCCCTCAATAACCCATCTATCTTGAAATTTCTGAGGGACCTACCCGAGGGGGAGGAGGATGACACCTTCACCCTTTACCCACTCCACCTCATTCAGATGAAAAGCCAAACGGAGGTCTTTGAACTATCCCTGTCTGGAGAAATTTATGGACTGAAGGCCCAATTTCTGAATGTGGAGATTGTGGTGACCTCGGAATCGTCTAGACGGTTCTTTACCACTAAATTTGGCAAGCGCTTGTCGTTGAATTTCCTAGTGGTGAGGTATGTGAAGTATGCCTCGAATAGGCATATACAACAATTGTTGAATATTATTCTCGCCCAAGTTGCGTCCATCTTGGTCCTTTGCACTCAACCCTGTGACGCTGTTGTGGAAATCCTAAGGGTTGTCACGTACATGGTTCACAACGGGTTTTCCCTGCGTGGTTGCGTCAATTGAGTAAATCGAGTCCTTAACTCCCCTCATGATTTCCTTCCTCCCAGGGTGGACGTCGCGGCTACGGGACAACAGTTTCGGGTGAGATAGTCACACTCTCTAAACCGTCTTTTCAGCTATGGTGTTCTGTCTGTTTGTGTCCTATTGACCTCTACCAGTGGGGATGCCTGGGTAGCTCGCGGGTACCATGCCTAGGGCAGGTACCTGCTACCTGCCCTAGCATGCTACCCCTAGTGGGGAAGGGGACGGCCACACACACACACACATATATACTGAATTGTTTGAGAGGAGGATTATTTGTTGGGCCCTCTGCCTATCGATATGTGTACAAGGTCCCCCCTTTACCTTGTGGTTCCCCAATTACCCCCCTTTTTTTTTTGTCTACACCCGAGAGCTTATGATACGAGCCTCGAATTGGCCAGGCTGAGTGAAGGCCTCCGGATAGTCCCCCCCACTCCGGAATGGGCTCCTACCCATACTCCCACTCAAAAACAAGGTACTCCCCTGCCCAGTTGGCCCCCCCCCTTTTTTCTGGAACCCTCCTTGGTCCCAGGTGTCTCCCTCAAACCAGTCTCGTTCCTTTGCGCCTTATGACGATTGATCCCTGATTAAATAAAACTTCGGTGTTTTCACTCCTCCTCTCCATCGACCGGCCTTTCGTAAGGGATTGTGGGTCCACATTGTCGGCGCGCATCTTGTGTGTGGACAGCTTGAGCCACAATCCCTCCCGACTTGCTCGTGCAAGAGCTCTCCGTGATTGTCGTAGCTGTTCTATGCGCCTATGTGAGCTGTTGCGCTTACACCATCGCAAGGCTCCTGCTCTTATGACTCAACACTAAGTGACCTGCGCTGCGTATTCCGCTGGAATTGTGCCTCCTCGCCATTTGTTTCGCTCGACCTCCATGCGTAGCTCTGGTGACCGCGAGAATACTCCAACTCGTTGTGTACTCGCAGCTAAGGGTCGTATTGCTGACGTGGCGCATACGCAGGACAGTGTTGGGGATTCGTCTCACCCCCGCTTGGTGTTGCACTATGGCGCCTGGAGCGGTAATGCGATCTGTGTCCTTTTGCCCTACGTCCTACCTCCCACCCCCTGACCCCCCTCTATGTGCCCTGCCCTATCCCAATCCCTCCTCTGATCCATCTCTTTGGAGTCTGGGTTATGCCCGTGGAGACTCCTGTCCCTTTCTGTACGGTATGAGGGAGGTTTTGTTCTCTGAAGATCCGGCATGGTGGAGGTCGGTGAAAAGTACTTAAGGGCGTGTTCCATCGCCCTCCTATCATACGTTGGCATAATGGGGCCACTTGACGGAAATGGGATTTCACTTCTCCTCTCCTTTCCTACTCTT